GAAGTAAGACGCCGTTAAGGAACAAAAAAGAGGAAAAGAAAAGTGTCTTGTGGCTGCCATATACAATTTGTGAAGTCATGTTATACAACATTGACTGGAAAAAAGAAAAAAACTTAATTTTGCTGCTTATATGCTGGAGGGGAATTTCATTATTTGGAACTGACAATAAAGCTAAAGAAAAATGCACTTCAGTTGNCGATATTACTTCTAACGGTAACAAAAGTTATATTGAAAAAAGAAACATCAGTACGAATCGCTAAAAGATTGTGCCAACACCATCAGAAACCACTCCCTACCATTGGAGCCATAAATAGGGCAGCATCTGCGACTCGAGAAGTAATTATGACATTTGGATGGTACTTTTCCAGACACTTGACGATAGGAGCTGCTCCCAGATATGTGCTAATTCCTTTCATTGATTAAACCAACGATCAGCTCCACCTTTAGAAGTAAGACGCCGTTAAGGAACAAAAAAGAGGAAAAGAAAAGTGTCTTGTGGCTGCCATATACAATTTGTGAAGTCATGTTATACAACATTGACTGGAAAAAAGAAAAAAACTTAATTTTGCTGCTAATATGCTGGAGGGGAATTTCATTATTTGGAACTGACAATAAAGCTAAAGAAAAATGCACTTCAGTTGAGGATAATAGTGTTCTATCATGACCTGAGGTGCTCAAAATTTGGCATGTAAGTTGTTTAACTTACTTGTATACTTGGCCAACATTTGGGATGACAAGGAAACTGTTCTAACTGATTAGATAATCCAGTCAAACCTCTAAAAAAAGTAAAGTACAATTACCTGATTCTTTTACTGAAACCTCGTAAGCAACTGCAACCGAAACACTCAACCCCAGACTGCTTGCTATTTCTATAACATTTTGCTGAGCCCCAGGGGGATCCACTACCCAGGAAAGAAATGGAGAGATATAGATAAGTAATTAACCAACAACCATCAGACCAAACCACCATTCGAAATTAAGCATAATAAAAATTTGAAACTTATTCAGAATTTGATATCTTACTTGCACCCATGTTGGTAATTATGCAAATATTTCTTTTCACAGCCAAAGGAAGAAGCAATTTCATCCAATCTGCAACTACAGAGTAATTCAAATAGTAGTCAAGAACAAAACACTGAACAGCCCGCAAAACTGACTTAACGTCAAAGGTACTAATGGAGAAGAATTTTAAGAAAACGTAAACGGAGATTGAGTTCAATAAATGATCATGAAGAAACCTCATGGGTAAAATTCTCGTATATTTCAATTTATTACTTCTCTTTTGCTCGACCCATTATAGTTTGCAGAATCTGTTAATGATAATTTTCAGAGTAATTAGCTTAAAAAACAACAAAACTCAGCCAGTATTATACAAGACCAACTAACTTCTTGGTAACTGGTTTATATCATCAGATCCAGCAATTAAATGAGATGAGAGTATGTCTTAAAATCAGTGTATGAAATGCCATCACCGTTTGCATCATTTCAAAATACTTTGATTCAGAGCAATCTTTGAACTGGATACCAGGGCAAAATGAGGTGTCAGGTTGCAATCTGGACGTTGCATGGACTAACAATATTGTTGTGCAAAAGAGAACAATTTTCTACAAAAGTCACTGTTTGCTAATGTAATAGATAGATATGAGCTTCAATATTTTAAGTAATACTAATATACTACCAACGAATCTAAGGAACCATTTACCAGCTTCTTAACAAAAAACTACCATCCTAACAATATTAGGAACTTTCAAGAAATTTTGAATATGAGAAAGGAATGATGAAAAAAATTGTAAGCCAAAAATGATTATTAACCATCGACATACTCCTTGAATCATATCCATCGCCACCAGACGACATAGCTTGATGCCGATCAGCAAGAGTGCGTTCTGCTAGGCATTCAAGCACGAGATAGTTTAGGTCTTTAACCCTCTGAAGCAATTTAAGAGCTGCAGTTGGCCTATCTCCTCCAAATCCAGCTCCACAACCAATGTACACCTTGTCTCTCCGTTTTTTAGGATTTACTCTCTGTCATTGAACACCAATACCTTAGATCTAACAATTCTTTCATTGACTTGTTTACAAAAATTAAATAAGAAATTAAGAACGGAAATAAGAAAGAACCAGCTTAATTGTGCAGTCATGGACGTCATCTTCACCCTGCCTCTCCATTAGCATCTGGTAACACAAGATGAAAGTGATTCTTAATTTCTTTCTAGGTGAAGACTTGTGAGATACGTGAGATAAGTAGTCTGAAGAAGTCAAAGGAGATTCTAAAGTCATTCTCTAATGGGACAAAATTAAAGAAGCAAGCAGGTAATAAATCTTTAAAAAGACATTTCAACTTGAAGCCTTAAGAATAATTAACACGTCCCAATATACTAAACATCAAGGAGATTCTTCACAGTCACTCCTTCCAAATTGCTTAAAATAGACTAAGAGAGTTTAAGGTCCTCCATGTAGCTTTTGCACATACGACACCAATTTGGATAAGGACCACCCCCGGTTCATTTCTTGTATAAACTCACAAGTATTCAATGCCTAAACAGCGGCTTGCATAGGTTTGGTTTGTCAAAAGATTATATAAAATAATAATATTTATTTTAAAAAAATTCTTGCATTTTAAGCAGCCATGCCATTTTGTCATTCTCTCGACTTAAATAACAGTCTCTGGCATCTTGTCCGTTTTTTCTTTCATGAAGACTTATCCTCAAGTGCCAACTTGAACATAACTCAACTAATCAAGACATTAAATATCAACGAATCAAAAGTTCGAACCCCCATACTTACATATTGTTGAGTTTGAACTCAAAAGATTTATCCTCAAATTAAAATACCATATTCCGGCGATTTTCTATAGTTAACCGTTGATTGTTCTGTTAGGAACCGTGAACTTCCACAATGGTATGATATCGTATGATATCGTCCACTTTGAACACAAGCTCTTATGGCTTTGCTTCTGGTTTCCCCAAAAGGTTTCATTCCAATGGAGATAGTGTTCCTTACTTATGAACTCATGATTTTCCTCTTAATTAGCTAAGGTGGGACTATTCCTCTCAATAATCCTCAACATTCCTCCCCTCGAACAAAGTACACCATAAAGCCTCCCCTGAGGCCTCTTTCTCTGGAGCTCTCGAACAACTTCCCCTTAATCAATGCTCAACTCCTTCTCTTGAGCCCTCGAACAAAATACACCCTTTGTTCGACACATGAGTCACATTTGACTACACATTCAAGGCTCACATCTTCTTTGTTCAACCTTTGAGAATTCTATTAGCATGACTAAGTTAAGAGCATGAATCCGACACCATGTTAGGAACCACAACCCTCCACAATGGTATGATATTGTCCACTTTGAGACAGGCTCTCATAGTTTTACTTTTGGTTTCTCCAAAAGGCCTCATTCCAATGGAGATAGTGTTCCTTACTTATAAACTCATGATCTTCCTCTTAATTAGTCAATGTGAAACTATTCCTCTCAATAATCCTCAACATGTTCATAATAAGAAAAACCCTTGGAAAGAGCTTACTGAGAAAGAGTCTATTAAACCAATCATCTCCAAGTATCCAATTGTGCTACCAATCCCAACTAAAGAATAGAGTTTTCTACAACCAGATTTCATTTGGAAATCGCCACCAAGTGGCTCCTTAAGGTATGACAAGAGATTTGCATGCACATAAAAGAAGTATCCAACCAAACACAGAAGAAACACACAGAAAAAGAAAGAAGTAGAAACTCCAAAGCGCACAGGCCTGAAATCCCAGTAAACAAATCCAAGAAAAATAATCCACCAAACAACACAAACCGCAATTAACCCATCAAATGACTTAACACCAGAAATCACAACCAACATAACAATCAGCTAAACGAGATGAAAAGGCCTTTAAATAACTTCGAAGTTGCAGACCCCTAAGTCACAGGTACACAGCACCATGATCAATGTTCAAACCAAAATTAAGATTGTGAAGCTAAGCTAACGGCGCATGGTTTAAAAATCAAGACCATACACCAAAATACATGCGCGCATAAAAATCAAGAAGTGCAGCAACAAGATGAAACATGAACCGCGTACCGATCAAATCCTGCCTTCGGGAAGAATGATTTGCCGCGAATGAGAATTTAATCGCGCAGTACCCCTTCACTTTGAATGGAAGATGATTAATTTTGGCTAAATGTCGCTTTCTAAAATCAGACAAGTCAAAATAGCCTGAATACTTAATTTTGTCAAAATAGCCTTCTTGTTTCCAAAAATGCCCTTCACTATTTTTCTCATCATAAGCAAAATTAGAGAGATTCCTACCTAAAAATGTAATGTTCTTTCAATTTGATCCCAATTTTTTAAAATATTTTTTCTAAATTTTTTATTTTTTTTGGAATTTTAAAGATTTTTGTCTTAAAATTTTCAAAATATTTATCCGAACATTTTTCTCCATCAAATGTGGCCGTTAAATAACAAAATTTTAACCTTGAAAGGTGTCCTCTCATCTGCATAATGGGTCACTGACGATTGGAAGGTCGAAAAAAAAAATCATGGAATTAAAAGGGACACGAGAGAGCTGCTTATTTCCAAATCAGGGCCAATTGAAAATTAATTTTATGTTTTTAAGACGGAATAGTCAAATTTCTCGGTGAGATTTTTAGGTCGGATCACTCAAATCATATCAGTGGAGTAAATTTTTTCCTATTTTATGTTGTTTTATCTCGAGTATTGTAATTTTTTTTCTTTGGCACGTACTAATTCTCGTAACAAATGACATAAGGACGACAAATTTTTTAATTAAATTTATATATAAATAACTCGTATAGCCCTTAAATTTGTTCTTACGGTCTCTCGGTCGAAAGTTTCAAAACCAAAATATAACAAATTTTGGTACAAAAAACGAATATCTCGAAGGTTGAAAGACGAACGGAAAGAACAAATGCAAAAGTTTAGAGACCTAAACGAGATTTAAACGAACGAATTATACTTTGCGAGTAAATGATGGCAATTACCCTAAATGAAAAAGGGTATTTATCAAACATTAGATTAGGGCTATTTTTCAAAACCAGAGTTACTTTGACAAATTCCATTTGTTAAAAGACCATTTAAACCATTAACCCCGCAGAACTCCCAAGGACTGATCGCAGGTCGCCAAGGTTTTTCTACTGCCTCCCGGCAGCTGCTCAGTGTACGCAGCCATGGTGACGTCGCCGGTGGTGAACACCTATCCACTTTCCAGCTACACCTTCGGTACTAAAGAGCCGAAGCTCGAGAAGGACACCTCCGTCGCCGATCGTCTTGCTCGCATGAAAGTCAAGTACTGCAAATTTACTCCATTTCTTAAACCCTAACTTTATGGTTTTTTCAACGTTTTAGAGTTGTATTTTCTCGAAAGTTAGGAACTATGGCCGTTTCTTAGTGTGGATTCCTGGTCATTTTACATTTTATGTGTTTAGCTTTACTAGAAACCATTTAATGTGTTTCTAATTTCAAGAAATGCGCGAGCTTGGACTAAAGTTCTGGATGAAATTGTGTTATTGATTTTATTCAAGCCATTTGTTCGTTGATAAACTCAGTGCTTTCTTATTGCTATTTGTTTCGTTGTTTCGTCATCGCCTGGAAATTTTGTCTTCCATTTATTGGTTTTGGAGGGGCTTTGACGGGAATGAGTAACTTGTCCTGGTTCTTGGTTCACAGCTATATGAAGGAGGGCATGAGGACGAGTGTTGAAGCAATTCTTCTGGTCAGTGCGCATCTTCATCATTTTTCATCTCAATGTACTCATTTCCTTATTATTATTATCTTTCTAAAAAATTTGAAGTTTAAAGAGATCATCAAGATATAGGTGTACTAGTTGGATACCATGGTTTGTGTTTTTCAGTTGATATTGAAATTCATTGAACTGTGAATCACTGAAATGTTTTATAACGAATTATAATATTTAAAAGGTACAAAAATATTTATCGTCTTGCATATCTACATCCTTCATCTAGAATATTTGAGTATATGTAGGCTATTAGAAGGAAAGTTTCATTGCCGAATCCTTTATTGTCCTATCTGATCTTTACCCGAGCAGCACGCGTTGGAAGACAAGATGACTAAATTTGAACTTCCATCATGTCATCTTTTAGATTATACCCGCCTATGGTTTCCTCCAGCTAGTAAATTTAACATGAGGTCTCCCCACCTATGACTGCTTCCAACTGTAAATTTTTCCCGTAATCCTTCGAAGCCCATGTACATTTTGATGCTCAACAAACATGTTGTTTCTTATATGTATGTACTGAATACATTTAATGTGTAATATATTAATTAATCTGTTTTTGGTTGCATAGCTGAAGTAGATATTTTAGTACCTCTGTAACTGACATTTATGTATTTTGCAAAAAAGCTCCAAAATATTCAAAATATTTTAGGATTTAAGCCAAGGAAAGTTGGATTTGAAATACAGAATGTGCCCAAAATGTAAAAACAGGTTCACTGAAGTTGATGCTTTAGGAATTTCCTACCAGACAATAACAATTTATTTACGATATTTGTGGATGAGATGAAAGTTCAACTGCATGTACTTGGGAGAGCCAGTAGGATTTCGATTTATCGCATTGTGCTTCCCAACCTACCTATAGTCTAAGTAGCATTCTACTAGTAAGATGGTGACTATAACTGATTTCATTTTGTTAAGATGGCCAGCTCGAGGACCAACGAGGATCTTGGCTCTTTATTCTAGAGGTGAAGGAATCGACTTTCTCCTTAATGGTCTTGATTAAGGTCCCATTTAGGAAATTAGGGAGGCAATAATACTGCAACCAGGAGAGGTAATAATACTGCTGGAAGTCTCAGACGTATATCTCCAAGTTCATTTAGGAAATTAATAATTACTGTGCTGAAAATAGGAAGGGAATCCTATAAAGTCTTGGAAGATCTTTAGCCACAAAAAGGAGGATGGTTACTTGCTTCCACGAATTTGGGTAAAAAAGATCAACATATTTGTTGAAATGCGAGGGTTTCTAGAAGCTTGATTTTTAGAGAAACCTGTTGGATGTTGAAATACAGGGGCAGCCTAATGTTTCAAATTTTGATAAGAAAAAGAGCATGAAACCAACGGGAGACCAAAAACAGGTGGATAAGCAGTCCAACCCCGAAGCTAAAGGGGTTTACAGAATAGGACCTCAATTATACAAGGCATACTATAATTACAAAAAGCAACGTGCGAATTGAAACAAATACTTTATTGAGTTCTTTTTACGTTGCTTTTTGTTTTACTCCTTTATGGAGTTTGATCATTTGAGCAATAGTATATTTTCATTACATCAATGAAACGTTTTGTTTCTTGTTCAAAAAATTACAAAAACATTGTTTTTTGGGCACACAAAGAGGAAGCTGATTGGAATGCAGGATCCTTGCACCCCTTAGATTTGTTTCTGAAGATTCTATAGTTTTTCTCGGCTTATGATTCAAACAACAGCTTTGATAGAATTAAACAAGGGAGTTCTAGTTTTCTGCCATTTTAAGTTTGGCACTGAATGTTTCCTTAATTCATTAACTTTCTCTTTAGTTGGTGTATTTTAGTGACTAATATTTAAGAGAACCATGTACTTTACTGTGATGGAATTTTATATTTTTCGTTTTTTCTTTTTACTTCCACAGGTGCAAGAACATAAGCATCCCCATATTCTACTTCTGCAAATTGGAAATACCTTTTGCAAGCTCCCTGGTGGCCGGTTGAAGCCAGGAGAAAATGGTAAGATTTTATATACATTTGAAGCCCCCCTGCATCCCATTGAGTAAAAAATCTCTCTCTCATGTTTTATCTTAATATCCACAGAAATTGAAGGTTTAAAGAGGAAACTGACGAGCAAACTGGGTGCAAATTCACCAGCCCTCCAGCCTGATTGGCAGGTTTGGGTCATCTCTTGCTGTGTGCAAATCTATTCGCAGAAGTTATATTTGTTTCTACCCAAAGTTATATTATTCATTGCACATTTTCTGCAGATTGGTGAATGTGTGGCTATTTGGTGGAGACCAAACTTTGAAACTGTTATGTATCCTTATTGCCCCCCTCATATAACGAAACCCAAGGTATGATCTCTCTCTCTCATGTTCCCCAGCCCCCAGCAGTGCTGATAGCACTTTTTTGGTGGTGACTTTGATAGGGAAGAATGTAGGCTATCAGTTATCTATCTATATGCATGTATGTATGTGCCTGTGTATACTATGCAGATTATTTATTACTCAAGCTGATTGGATAGCCTCTTTACCCTAGGGAAGGCCCTTGTAACAGCCCAAGCCCACCGTTAGCAAATATTGTCCTCTTTGGGTTTTTTCTTTCGAGTTTTTATAACGTGTCTGCTAGGGAGAGGTTTCTACACTCTTATAAAGAATGTTTTGTTCCCCTCTCCAACTAATGTGGGATCTCACAATCCACCCCCCCTTCGAGGCCCAGTGTCCTCGCTGGCACTCGTTCCTCTCTCCATTAAATGTGCGATTTCACAATTCACCCCCTTCGAGGCTCACACAAACGTTCATCTCTCAAATTGATGTGGGATCTCACAATCCACCCCCTTCAGGGTCTAGCGTCCTCGCTGACACACAGCCCGATGTCCACCCCCCTTCGCGGCTCAGCGTCCTTGCTAGCATACCGCCCAGTGTTTGGCTTTAATACCATTTATAACAGCTCAAGCCCACCACTAACAAATTTATAACGAGTCTCCTATGGAGAGGTTTCCACACTCTTATAAAGAATGTTTCATTCCTCTTTCCAACCAATATGGGATCTCACAATGGTCCACTGTTTTCTTACTTTGATTGGCATTATAAAGAGAGTTGAAATTATTTTTAGGAAGCTTATTTTTCCCCAAAAAAAAATCCTAATTAGGGTTTTTGATGATCCAGGAATGCAAAAAGCTTTTCATTGTTCACTTGTCTGAGAGAGAGTACTTCGCAGTTCCTAAAAATTTGAAGCTGCTTGCAGTTCCTTTGTTTGAACTCTATGACAATGTTCAGGTAAGTTGCATTTTTCTTTGTAGATCCTCATAAGTAGGAAAAAAAAAGTTTATTGTCATGCATATTCTTAAGCGATTTTTGGCATGTCGGGCAATATCGAAAACCTGCTTAATTATAAGCAATTAGTATGTGGTGGTGGTGGTTATCTAGGGATAGATGAATTAAGATAGATTTTCTGGATGCTGGATGATACTGATAGAGTACATGTAAATCCATTTGTCTCAAAATACCATGCATTTTATTAGCTAAACACTAGTTTTCGGATATCGCACTTGATCACAGAGATACGGACCTGTTATATCGACGATCCCGCAGCAGCTTTCCAGGTTTCAGTTCAACATGATCACCACATGAGCTTGCAAGACAAGAACTTAAAATTTGTGGCATGAACAGACTCCAAATTTGCAGCTGTGAGATATTCCTCTTAGCTTAGTTAGAACTTAAGGGGACATCATGAAACCTTTCTTGAGTTAGGATAGCATACTTATTATAGACTTTTTGTTCTCGACGTTTTCGTCGAAGTGTTTATGAGCCAGAACCCGAAAAAATTTATATTACTTCTAACAATAGCAGAAAAATGAAAACCGACTGACGGTTTGTGTAACGATTTAACTTGATGAAAATCTTAGATGGGTGTAATGTATGTTGAATCAATTGTAACAGTGGTTAAATTGTGGAAACAAAGAATGTTGAATCAATAGTAACAGTGGTTAAATTGTGGAAACAAAGATTTTCTGGCCTTGGCTCTCTGTTTCTCAATTGAGTCAACTGTTTCTTGGGCTCTGTTCACTCGTCTATGTTTTAATAAGAATGAATCTTTCGTTGTGTAAGGTTGGCCCGGAGAGAGAGTGGGTGTGACTCCCTCTCTACCCATTCAAATCATTTCTCGCCTCAACCCCCTTATAAAGAGGGCATGAAGAGGTCGCCAATAGTACCTGCTACTGGAAAACGTAGGGCATGAAGAGGTCGCCATTAGTACCTGTCACTCCTACTTTCTCTTGACTAGAAACGAAAAACGTAAAGAGATTTAGTAGGTGATTCAAGCCTTACATGAATTATATATTGAATGATTTTCAAATTGAAGGCATGAATGTCTATTTTTTGATCAATCTCTATGTTTTGATAAACTAATAACAAACTTATCGATTATGGATAAGAAATTTTAATTTATGGTTTGAGCATGTGAGTTTTTTTTTTTTTTTTTCCTCGTTTGTTTATGGGAACGAGGAAACCTTTCGAAGACCACAGGAAAGCTGAAACTTCCACATCCAAATTAACCGATAACGACATTCTTAATTTGTACATATGAGTCACACATGTAAAGTTCAATGAAACAGAAACATTGCAATAACTAGCACAATGGATTGCAACAAAGTACGTAGACAAATTGATCAAATGGATTGCAACAAAGTACGTACACAAACGATCAATGGTAAAAATCTCATAGTTTAAGGGTGGTTTTTAAAAATTTTCAAAAAAAAATAATAATTTACTATTAGTCGTGTTAGTGTCATTTAAAAGCGATGTAAATGTATAAGAATTAAAGAATTGTAAACTATATAAATTTTCTAGTGTGAATAAAGGGAGTAGATAATGACCGAACAATAAAAAAATTTCTCTAAGACCCACGAATTCGTCATAATTCAAAGTGACCCCACTAACTCTCAAAAACTACACAAAAACCCCAATTTCTTGTATACCGACCAAAATACTAAAAGGTTTCTCTCGACCCACCAAACTTGTTATAATTCCAAAATGGCCCACTAACTCTTACAAATTGCACAAAAACCTTCATTTGTTGTACACCGACCAAAAACTAAAAAAAATTTATCGACCCACTGAACTCGTCATAATTCCAAAATGACCCACTAACTCGAAAAAAGTGCACAAAAGCCCCGATTTCTTGTATACCGACCAAAGACTAAAAATTTCTTTCGGCCCATCGAACTCTTCATAGCTCCAAAATGACTCACTAACTCTCAAAACTTACACAAAAGCCCCAATCTCTTATATATCGACCAATTACTAAAAAGTTTCTCTTGATGCACCAAACTTGTCATAATTCAAAAATGGCCCACTAACTCTTACAAATTGCACAAAAACCCCATTTGTTGTATACCGACCAAAAAATAAAAAATTTCTCTCGACCCATTGAACTCGTCATAATTCTAAAATGACCTACTAATTCGAAAAACGTGCACAAAAGCCCCGATTTCTTGTATACCGACCAAAGATTAAAAAATTTCTTTCGACCCATCGAACTCTTCGTAGCTCCAAAATGACCCACTAACTCTCACAAATTGCACAAAAGTCCCCAATTTCTTGTGGTTTAGAAGGGAAAAAAAAGCGAGACACGACAGGCGGAATGTGGATTATGAATCCAGGTGGACCCCATTTTAGGGGTAAAGTAATCCACATTTGTGATGACCTGTTCATCTTTGACAATTATCCATAAAAGTTGATCACCAAAAGCCTCTTTAATAGCGCGTGAGGTACACGTACCAATAACTGTTCACCACCAACTCACCGTCGCGCTTGAAATCACGCGCTTTCATTCCCTCACATGGCGTTTTTTTCACATGGCTTCAGCCATAACCGAAAAGCACAGAAATGCATTTTCACCGCCAGTTTCAGTCTAAAAGAAAATAGCATTTGTTTCTCTCTGAGCTTCTTGCAGATTCTCGAGTAAAATCCAAATCCATTCTTCTGAGGTATTCTTCTTCATGTTGATTTTCTGTTTGGTTACTGAGAAAATTCCTGCTACTTTTCTTTCCTGTTCTTATAATCAGCATTCTGTTTGATACCGAGCAAAGAGGTTGTTCTTGAGTAAACGTGCGTTTTAGGGGTTGAGATTCGAGATATTGATAACTCTGTTTGTTTATTAATATCATTTTCTTGTTGTCTCTACTTGGACTGAGTATTTACACAGATTTTGTTGAAGAAAGTTACGATTGATGCTTGCCTCGCTTGCCTCTCTTGTGTCTTGTTCTTTTAGGAGTGTTTTTTACTTGGAAAATGGAGCTCATTGCCGTCTTTCTCTGTATTATGAACGAAGAACATTGAAATTTAGAATTGTAGGGAGCGTGCATGAATGGTGTTGAATCGCAACACTTTAGAGCTTGCATGAAAGCTGAAGAAATGAGTGAGGAAAATGGCAGTAACAATTGGGGAAAAAAATGGAAAATATTATTGCTGTTGAACTACCACCAAGTTCATAAAGATTGTGTGGATAGATTGTTGTATATTCAATCCTCTGAATTCTTGATGTTCTTCCTTACTTAAGGGATTCAAAATTAGCACGAGATTTAATAACTGATTATCAAGAAATAACTTCGCAAACATTTGAATCTAAACTTAAACATATTTGATTTTGTATATGTATTAGTAATGTTTATCGGTGTAGTAAAATTGGATTGAATTTCCTATCAGCCACTCGATGGAACAAGATATTTCATTGCATTTCTTTTCAAAGCTTATGAAGATTTACTTCTTTATTTCTCATTTTTGTTAAATTGGTCTACTTTTTGTTCTTAGGACAGGGTAATAATGAACAATGCTTTCTAATGGTAGTTTCCAGTGGACTCTTGGATGTACTTGAAGTAGCATTTTGAATATTCATTGAAGATGACAACACTATCTTTAGCATCCGGAAACGTTGGAAACAGAGAATGCTGCTTGGAATTTCCTACTTTGTATTTTACGGAAGGTCCTTTGGGTAGCAAACTCCTCAGAAGATCATATACAAGAAGGTATGGATTTTGGTTGGATGATCCAAAAGTTCCTCGGATTAAAAGCAGGAACAGGTTTTGTGTGACTGCAAAGGTTAAAAAGTGGAGGAAGCACGATTATCCTTGGCCGGATGATATTGATCCAAACATTCAAAGTGGCCACTTGACTTATCTGTCTTCCTTCAAGCCTCTGGCTGAGAAACAGAAACCTGTCACACTTCCATTTGAGAAGCCTTTGGTTGATTTAGAGAAAAAGATTATTGAGGCAAGTCTTCTATGAGTTTAAAAAAGAAAATCAGGAAATCTTTTGAACATTATTTTCATGAATTTTCAAATTTTGTAGTGATGTTTGTCTCAGTGAAGGAACCTATTTAAATCTTAGCAAAAGGCCATATAAAATCACATGGTCCTTATTACATGAGCTCTCTCTCTTTTGCTCAGGTCCGTAATTTGGCTGATGAAACCGGTTTAGATTTCAGTGATCAAATTAGCACCCTTGAGAACAAGTACCAGATGGTATGTTGAGTTTTACTGCCCTGTTATTCTGATATTATAATCTTTCTGTATTAAGTACTTCTTCTGCTCTCTGTTTCAAGTCCAGGCTCTTAAAGATTTGTACGCACATTTAACACCAATTCAGCGATTATCAATTGCACGACATCCCAATAGACCGACAGTTCTTGATCATATATTAAACATCACAGAAAAGGTTCCTCACTATACTTTTTACATCTTATTTATATCAATTGATTGTTAACTTTTTTCCTTTTTGTTTCAATCAGTGGGTAGAACTCCATGGAGATCGTGGGGGTTATGATGATCCAGCAATTGTTACTGGCATTGGGAGCATTGAAGGTAAAAGCTACATGTGTATAGGACATCAGAAAGGTAGGAATACCAAAGAGAACATTGCTCGCAACTTCGCAATGCCAACACCTCATGGGTAAGCTTAAAGTGTCTCTAAAATTAAACCAACAATTAGGAAGATTGGATCGAGTACAAAAGGAAATATCTTGACTAGTGTCGGTCAACATTAGAGTCTAATATTCTTCTCCAACACACTAACCATTCAGAACATAGCTCAACTGACATAAAATACGTGGTTTCGACCAAGAGGTCAAAGGTTCGAATGTCTCGCCCCATATTGTTGAATTGAAAAAAAAAATGGCTTCATAACAAGGGTTTGATATGTTTGGAGATACCCTCAGAGCTGTTTATGTTGTTTGGAACCTAAATAATAGTGAGGGGAAAACCTTTAGTGGAAAGGCTCTCAAGTCAATTAGAGCAATTTTTGTTTTGCTTGGTAAATATATGATTTACTAACCAAAACCATTGTTCGAAAAAACAGCTACCGGAAGGCTTTACGGTTGATGAAATATGCCGATCATCATAGTTTGCCTATTCTTACTTTTGTTGACACTCCTGGGGCATTTGCTGATCTAAAATCTGAGGAACTTGGTCAAGTGGGTGACATTTTTCATCTCACATGGAAACTAGACTTTGTTGAAGTGATTTGATACATGATCTTGGCTGAACGATTTTCTGATTTTTGTAGGGTGAGGCGATAGCCCATAACCTGAGGACAATGTTTGGNGCTTAGTTGCTCAGGCACTTGTTGAAGAACTGCCTTAGAAAGTTTTATGATCTAGAGTACCTTTCTGGTGTATAGTTTTGATACCCGTTTCACATGTAAATTATATATTAGGTCCATGTCTTCATTTAACACTGCATTCAAGCAAAACCTTCAGCAATTTATCAATAATGGAGTAACACTTAACAGAACCCAAAAATATTTTATTTTCCTATAATATGTGTAGATCCTATAATAGATTTACTTTTTGTACCTTTCTCCCTGATCAGTCCTGAAGCCTGTGCTGCAATCTTGTGGAAATCCTCCCAAGCAGCTCCTAAGGTATTTGATTGGTTTGATTATTGTACGTATTTGAGAACAAGACCGGCTTTGTCGAACTCTTAAAGTTTCTTATTGTAGGCTGCTGAGAAATTGAGAATCACAGCTCAAGAACATTATAGGCTCAAAATTGCTGATGGAGTCATCCCTGTAAGTACTTGTCTCTGTGAACCATGTGCTCTGAGTGCTTATAGAAATGGAAGCATTTTTACCCCTTAATCATCTCTCATTCAAAAGCCACGCCTTTTTGTTGCATGGCATCGCTTCATTTCCAGTTTATAATTAAACAAAAAGAAAGAAGAGAAAATGACTTTGTTGCCCCCATTGCAACTTGCTCCTTGATAGAGCGTAATTGGTTTCTTGTTTTGAGGACGGTTTGGAGAGAGGAGCCCATCGATTAATTAAGGGATTGATCGTGAGTTTATAAGTAAGAAATACATCTCCATGGTATGAGACTTTTAGAGAAACCAAAAAGTAAAACCATGAGAGCTTATGCTCAAAGTAGATAATATCATATCATTGTGGAGGTTCGTGGTTTCTAACATTTTCAATGCCAATTATCCTGTTCCTTCTCTTTTATCCTTAGCGAAACAAGAGTAAACTAAAGTCCTTATCGAAACAAGAGTAAACTAAAGATTTATTGGTGCAGAAGTAAAACAAGAGCACTTGATAATTGTCATAAAGGAAAGAAGACGTTCAATTTTCTTACGATAAATTCAGCTGTGCCTATGGCTTCTCCTGCACATTGCTTATGTTATGTAGATAATTACTACTCACAGGAGCCTCTTGGTGGTGCACATGCTGATCCTGTATGGGCCTCCCAACAAGTTAAGTTTGCAATAATCCAGGCAATGAAGGCAAGTATCTTTCACACCATTACATTTGAAACCCAAGAAACTATAATATTCATCTCATATTAAAATATCTATCACTAATCCAATAAAATCAAACTCAATAATCGTATGCACCAATTGTCTATACATGGTAGGAAAATTATTTAGATATTTTAAGAATAAATGGTTAGATATCTTAAGAATAAATTGTCTAGCCTCTACTATAAATACTCCTCCATCCTACCGATGTTTTTATCCTAAAAAAAATACAAAGTAAAGTGTAGTAATCTTCTACAAACTGGTTTGTAATCTATTCTCGATTGGACTTAATAAAAAGTGTAAATATTTCCCACAAAGAGTTGTGCCATTGTTTTGAAAAAAAAGCTCTATTTTATTCTAACCGTCATTTTCTTGCATTTTTGTCAATTAGAAGTTCTTCTCCCATTCTTCTGGAAAATTGAACCATTTGAGATAAGAAGATGAGCTCTTCCATATACTTCATGTGATTTCCTTCTAATAAAAGCTAAAATGGACTTTGTTTAGGAACTGTCAAACATGAGTTCAGAAGAGTTGATCCACCACAGAATGCTGAAGTACCGACACATTGGCGGTTTCCAAGAAAGCATTCCCATTGATCCAAAGAGAAAACGCGAGATGATGCCATCTCAAACCAACCTGCCAAAGCCTGGTGACATAGAGTCCGAACTTGAGGATCTAAAGAAGAAGATTCTAAAAGTAAAAGGCCCATCTGATCCAATCACTGCTCAAGCAATTGGGAAACTCAAACAAGATTTTGACAAAGAGATAACCAATGCATTCATCTCCATGGGCTTAGAACAAAAGCTTGAATCACTCCAGCTAGAACTCTCCAAAGCTTCAAATGGGTCATCTAAGCAACCACTGAGCAGAAGCCAGAAGGAAAAAGTAGACAAAATCATGCAAGAATTCAAGCAGAAATTATCAAAGCCAGGTTCCTATCTGGGTTTGAAACAGAAACTTGAAAAGCTAGACATGGTGTACAAGCTCATTGAGCAGAAGAAGAAAAGTGAAGAACTAAAAACAAAGATCAACAACAAAATCCCATCAGAGACAAAAGCAAAACTGAAACAATTGAAGGAAAATTGGGACAATATCATCTCCAATGATGCCCCAATGGACAAAGACCTCGAAGAAGAGCTCGAAAGAGTCAAGAAAGAGCTTGTCAATGTCTTAAAGACAGCAAATTTGGATGTCGTTGGAGTGGTGAAGAAGACAGCCGCCACCCCACCGGCCGAGGTGAGAGAGAAGGTGCGACGTTTGAGAGAGGAGATCAATAGGGAGATTGAGAAGGGCATAGCAATGGCAGGGCTTGGTGGGAAGATTGTGGAGATGAAATCAAAAATGGCGGCGGATGGGTTGAATGTGAAAGAGGTTGACAAGCTGAAGGCTGAGATTAAGGAGAAGATTGATGAAGCTTTGGAGGCATCTGGTTTGAAAGAGAAAGTTGAGAGCCTGAGAATGGAGCTGGCGTCGTCCATGGCGGCTACTGCAGAAGGTATGGTTGGTGTTGATAATGGCAGGTTTTAGATAATTGCATATAATACAATGGTTTTATATCTTGATATAGAGGCATGAATTATTGAGGCTTTATAAGCATTGATTCTATTCAATAATATAAGATTTGTAGTAGCTGATCGTGGTATTAGTACACAAGAGTTCATGTTGTAGTTTTAGACGTTCATCGTTCGACAGTAAGTATTAAATTGAAAATATAGTGAGATCAGAAGTTTAAATCTCGAATTTCTTAATTTTGAAGAATAGATGATTAGTCAAATTTTGAGACAAATTTTATAATATTATCATATTATGAAAAAACTTTAAAATAAGTTATGAAATTTTTGCAACGTGTTATTTTGGTCTCTGAATTTTAAGAAACATTTAATATGTCGTTGAACTTCCAATATAATGTCTACGAAGCCTATGAATTTTCAATTTTGTGTTTAATAGGTTTTTGAATTATTCTACGTTTTTTTATAATATAAATTCATCATACATGAATTTAATTTTACATCTAAAAATTAGTTAATTTTTTTAATGGGATATATATATATATATATAAATATTTATTATTTAATATTCTAAATTTTTATGGATTTATTGGATATAAAAATTGAGTAAAAAGACATTAAAGTGGGTTCGTTGGAACATTTATGTATAATTTTGTTTTTTTTAATGAAAATAATAATTATGAATCAACCAACAAACAAAAACATGCATTTCTTACATTGTAAATAAAAATTAAGAAATAATAATGAAAATATTGGATTTTTAAATTTTATTTTGCTAAAAAATTAATTTTATTTATTTATATGTTTCTTTTCCTTCACACATAACTGATGAGAGTTTGGAGGTTGAACCAAATTTATTTTTTAGAATTTTTCAACTTTGTTAAAAACAAATGGTTTTTTTTTAATAATTTAGAGGAAATTAAAATTTAGTCCTAAAATTTTAAAAATTAGAAATTTATTAAATTATAGGGATCAAATTTGCAATTTAAATTAATCACGTCAATATATATTTCAGTTCAAACTCACCTGTAAAAGGGTTGGGTTGAGAGCCTGGACACTTTTTCCTCTGCTTTTTACCCGTTTCTTGTTTTATTTGAATTTTGGTTTGGTTTGTAACTTTAAGGCAATAACTTTAAAGAAAACGACCTAATATGGAAATTAAGTATTGATATTATCGAGTGGCCTATCGAAACAGAGTCTCACTCTCCCATCTGATTTTCTCGAGACATGCAATGAAGACTCATTGCGCAATTTCCGCGTTTACGTTACCTTACAATATATACCCATAATAATTTATTTTCATTCTCTAAAAAAAAAAATAATAAATAAAAAATATGCATTTAGAACAAAAAGAAAAAAAACATAATCTATATAATTGAACAAATATTATAAAATTAATTCTCAAATTTTCGTAGCTTCTAGGAAGCCCCTGAAAAATGGAGAAATTAGTAAACCCAGCACACAGAACGGGTAAGAAATGGAAAGAAAAGGAAACTTTGGGGTTATATGTAAAGTAAAAGTATAACAGGGACCATTCTGCAAAGTGGTAGACCCACTTCCTCGGATGCCCTAGGAGCTCTCCGATGGTAACTTCCATCTCATCCATCGTCTCTCTCTCTGCAAATGACCCAAAAACAACATTGACGAAAGAAAAACAGGCCGCTCTCATCTTCGTTTGAATCTGCCGCAGCTTCTACGATCAAAATCTTTACTTTAATTCTCTGTAAATTTTTCTGTTGCTGCAATTTCCTGCCATTTCTGCACCTAGATCTGTACAAATTTCTCTGTTTTTTTTTTTTTGTTTGTTTGTTATTTTTGTTCCATTTTCGTCGTCAGTTTTGCCTTTTAACCGCCTTGAGAATACGAGAACTGGTGGATTTTTGGTCGTGTAAATTGTAGGAATCATTTATGAACTTGAGCGAAACCCTTTTGTGGTCTATTGTTTTTCATTTTGGATCTTTTTGGTAGTTTTCGGTAGATTTCTTCTTTGTTTTTGTCGTCATTCAATCATTCGATCGGAAACCCTAGCTCCCGCTTTTTTTTTTAACGTGGTTAGGGTCTGTGAGAGTAGTGATGAACAATAGAGGAAGGTATCCTCCTGGGATCGGTGCTGGACGAGGCGGAGGCGTGAATGCGAATCCTTCGTTTCAGTCAAGACCACATCAGCAGCAATATGTACAAAGAAATTTGGTACCGAATCAGCAGTATCAACAACAGCAGCACCAGAACCAGAACCAGAACCAGAACCAACACCAGCACCAACATCAACACCAAAACCAGCAGCTTCAACAACAACAGTGGCTGAAAAGGAACCAGTTAGGTGGCGGTCCTGCCGATTCTAACGTTGACGAGGTGGAGAAGACCGTGCAGACGGAGGCTGTTGACTCGAGGTTCGTGCTAAATACATGACGGATTTGTGTTTCTGTTTATGCATTATTTTTTATGGGCATTTACATAGGATGGTTGGGTTCATTTCTCTGTATGATATGATCATATAGGAGATTTTTGAGTTGTGATTTGGGAATTGTTGGGTTGCAAGCGTATGTTTTTTTTTTTTTTTTTTTGCTATAGAAGGAGGCAAGTAGTTAATTTTGTAAATATGGTGGATCCCATTAGCAATAGGCATTTGGTATGGTAAATGTTTTTGGGTTTCTATTCCTGGTTTCATCTATCTGTCTGAGCGCCTCTGGTGATATTTTGCGCATATTTCATGTGACTGAAGACTTTGTGCATGCGGATGTTCTCACGATTTTATACCTAACTAAATTTCTTTTATCAACGTGAAAAGTTTTGGATTTTGGCAAGTTGTATTGCTTGGCTCAGATAGAAACTGATTATTATCATTTATGCATTTTTTTATCTGCAGTTCACAAGATTGGAAGGCTAGGTTAAAGATTCCACCGCCTGATACACGATATAAAACAGAGGTATCCTACTGATAATTTTCGTATGCTCTACAGCCAGTTTATAGCATATTGACTGCTGAATGCTCATTGATCCGTATGCAGAGGAATGGTAGATTAGTGTTATTTTGATATTTTAATTCTTCAATGTGCTTTCTGTCTAGTTCATGCAAATTATAAATTCTCATTGGTCTCTCTGTATGAAAGCACACCTAATTTTGTTACCTTCTGACTTGCTTATTAACCATTTTCAGGATGTGACGGCTACCAAAGGAAATGAATTTGAGGACTATTTTCTAAAACGTGAATTACTCATGGGAATCTATGAGAAAGGCTTTGAAAGACCATCTCCTATTCAAGAAGAAAGTATTCCGATCGCTTTAACTGGTAGTGATATTCTTGCTAGAGCGAAGAACGGAACTGGAAAGACAGCTGCATTTTGCATTCCCGCCTTAGAAAAGATTGATCAGGATAACAATGTAATCCAAGGTTTGTTTTGAACCTACATTAAGAGTCTTATATTATTTCTAAACACATACCCATTATATTGAGATTCATTCTAATATTCAAATTCTAAATAGCATTATTGCTATCCCAAACATTCTCAATGCACGGCAGTTCAACCTGAGTTTTTTCATCAGGCATCAAAATTCTTCCCAACAACATTCTTCCTTTGTTGCCCCCTTCTTCCACCAGAGCATTGATTCTGGCCACAGAGCTGGTGCTCATGTTGAATCTCATTCTTGAGGTCTTCCCATGTTTAAGACATGAAACCAGTATCTTGTTAATGTCCAAAGGAAAAAGAAATGTCACTTGCAAGTTGTAAATCATGAGATAGATTCTGTTCTTTCCTTAAAAAAAAACACCTTCCACAAGACTAACCTCTTGAGTTCTATGCATTAATCGACTCAGTTTGCCCACCCCACGGTGAAAAGAAATGGTGAAGGCATTTTGTCTAGGGCCTGTGCTAATTTCAACCTCTACTATTATTTTATACGCCCCAATAATTTATTTTATGACTAATTTTAAAACGTGTCATTTCATTTTTCCACTAGGCACAGGAGATGATTGGTCAAAATGCTGTTATGCCACATTTTGATGGCAATATTGATTCCTATCTCAGTTTGTTTTGTTCACTTGTTTGACATTTGTTTTAACTTTCTATGTGAACAGTTGTTATCCTCGTTCCAACTCGAGAGTTGGCTCTTCAAACTTCACAAGTGTGCAAGGAACTCGGAAAGAATTTGAATATTCAAGTTATGGTTACAACAGGTGGTACCAGTTTAAAGGATGATATCATGCGACTATATCAACCAGTTCATTTATTAGTTGGAACTCCAGGAAGAATATTAGATCTTGCAAAAAAGGGTGTTTGTGTACTGAAAGATTGTTCTATGCTTATCATGGATGAGGTAATTACATGAGATATGAATGCAATAATAAATAAGTGACTTTGTGTCGATATCATTATATTTTTCAGTAGGAATTAATCCTATAATATTGCAATGGTAGGGTTATATCAACTAAATGATTGTTTGACTAGATTATAGATTGATCATTGAACAATGACATTGGCGGCAAGTATTAATTGCAATCTATCCTTGTGTACTTGAGAATCATGTTGAAGGAATCTAGTGTTAGGAAGTTTTACAACATAGTATGTAGTTAATTTGTTTTCTCTCTCTAGTTCCTACTGTTTTTACCTCATCAACTGTTCTCAGGATTGGTAAAAGATGTAATATTTCCATCATGAGTTACTGCTGTTATAACTTCTACCGTTTTATGCTTACTCCAACATTTTAATATTTTTTTTTAAAACCCGAGTTTTTTCTTGATACACTGTAGACGACTCAGTTTTGCTTGGGACTGTCCTCTCCCTGCCTTTATCACCATCCCTTTCATTTGCTCAAGCATTATCTTGTCTCTTATACATGTTGCATAGTAGTGTGATGTGTCAAATTTATGTTTTTATTTTCTTACCTAGTTCTCATTTCCCCCCAAGAATTAGTGTATGGTTGCTATTGCTGAAAGAAAGCTTTCATGTTCTTGAGTAAATAAATCTTTGGGGTAGTACTAGAAGTTAAGGTTACCACATTCAGAAATATATGCCTATCGATCAAATTTATCTTGGCTCAATAGTTTAACTTGTTGCAACAAACTAATCATTTTGTTGTTCTGTTTCTCAGGCAGACAAGCTCTTGTCTCCAGAGTTCCAACCCTCAATAGAGCAGCTGATACGCTTTTTGCCTGCAAATCGGCAGGTTCTTATGTATTCCGCTACCTTTCCCGTTACTGTGAAGGACTTCAAAGATAGATATCTTCACAGGCCCTATATTATAAACTTAATGGACGAGCTCACTCTAAAGGGTATCACCCAATTCTATGCATTTGTTGAAGAAAGACAAAAAGTGCACTGCCTTAATACTCTTTTCTCTAAGGTTTGATCCCAAGCAAGCTAATTATTTTTCTTGATTTCCTCCGACTACATTCTCTTTTCCTGTGTAAATCACAAAGTTAATGTTTCTATCTGCAGCTGCAAATTAACCAGTCAATTATCTTCTGCAATTCGGTAAATCGAGTTGAGTTGTTAGCCAAAAAAATTACTGAACTTGGTTATTCTTGTTTCTATATTCATGCAAAGATGCTGCAAGATCATCGTAACAGAGTATTTCATGACTTCCGAAATGGTGCATGCAGAAATCTCGTTTGTACTGGTATGCCATTTGTGTGCGCAAACTTTTTTGTTTTAAAAAAATAATTTTAAATTTGAAACATCCTTTCTTTATTGCATCTTTTTAAATTGTACATTTTTCTTTTCCCTTTTTTGAACATACATATCTTGTACACAGTTACATGCCAAAAGAAAATCTATAAAACTATCCCATTTGTTCTGAACTAATTTCCTTTGATATGGGATGCACTTGCAGATTTATTTACAAGAGGAATAGACATTCAAGCAGTAAACGTCGTTATTAACTTCGATTTCCCCAAGAATTCAGAGACGTATCTACACAGGGTATGTGTCACATTCAGTTCCTGTTGATTATCATTATTATTACTTATTTACCTCTCAAATCTTTTAAAATTGTTCACTTGCAGGTTGGACGATCTGGAAGGTTTGGACACCTTGGGTTAGCTGTGAATTTAATCACCTATGAGGATCGTTTCAATTTGTATGTTTTTTTTCTTTTAAAAGAATATTTTGGTTGATTACTGCCGTTTGCCATCATACATTCAGATTCACTGAAATGTGATTCTCCATACTTCAGGTACAGGATTGAACAAGAACTTGGAACGGAAATAAAACAAATACCACCCCATATTGACCAGGCAATCTACTGCCGGTAATTTGTGGTGGGCATTGGATCCCAGGGTAAACAATTGGCAGCAGGTAAAAATCGTACTGTGCTACCTAATTCTCCTTCATTATTGTACAAACACACTCACGTTTGCATATACATATTTATTGAAAAAACGATAGGCATACCTCTAGGGAAACGATAGAAATGTCTCTAGGATATTGATGGGAATACCTCTATAGGGTATAGATGCTAGAAAAATTATTAGGATCAAGTAAATTACGCGCTAGCTAAGGAGATGGTAATAAATAGAATGAGGAGTGAATTTCATACAACAATGAAATTGTTTCTTCTATAAAAAAAAAAGACAGGATTTTTATTACTTCAATTTACAGTAGCCAACAATCTTGTTTAGGTATTATGGTTTGTTATATTTAGGAGTTATTAGGCACCTCAGTGGCAGGTAGGTTGATATTATGTCATTGACCTCCAGCTACCCATTACTGTCCGACCTACGTACGAAACTATACTAGTAGGGAGTGCAGTCATTATGGGGATAGCAGGCGTTGATTTTTCTTTTGTCCAAAAAAATCTGTTATGGTTTCAGAGAAATGTAGATGAGGCGTACCAATTTGTGTTCATATTCTTACATCTTTTGTTTCATGCTGGTCCAACTTTTTTATTCAATATAATGCTTGATTACAAAATTTCAATGTGAAAAGTTTGGAACCCTACATGATATAGTTTTCTGATGTCTCTACTCGGCTACAATCGTGTGAAATCATCTTGCATAGAACATGATATAGTTTTCAGATACATCTGCTCGGCTACAATCGTGTGAAATCATCTTGCATAGAACATGATATAGTTTTCAGATACATCTGCTCGGCTACAATCGTGTAAAATCATCTTGCGTAGAACATGATATAGTTTTTCTGATACGTCTGCTCAGCTACAATAGTGTGAAATCATCTTGCGTAGAACATGATATAGTTTTCATATACGTCTGCTCGGCTACAATCGTCTAAAAATCATCTTGCGTAGAAATTTATTTGAGTTTCCTTGTTTTTGTTCTTGTTTTTGAAGGTCAATGAAGAAGCTCTTTGGAGAGGCTTGTTTTCTGAGTCAATATCAACCGAAGAAGACTCAACTTGGCTTGGAATTCTTTTAGTTAGAACCCTACCTATAATATATATATAATAGCCCTGAAGACATTCTTATTAACAGGAGATTAGGATAGAATGTAGAGTGGCTCATCTATAAAAATCCCAGAACTTTTATCAACTGACCTGCTTGTTTGCTCTCCTACTTTCTGGTTGTGTTGTAATCTCTCCTTTTTTCCCCTTCAAAAAAAAAAAAAAAAAAAAAAAAAAGCTCCCTTCTCCCTCCACTTTCAAACCCTTAATTTACAACTTTTGCTCTCTCCCGAACCCACAGTTGTTTCGAATACTTCCTTATAAGTGTTCAATGGACAGATTTGCTTTTATGTTTTTACTGCTCTCTGCGCCCTGCTTACTTGTAAATTGGCTATGGTTTAAGTGCGTGCAGGTCGGGCCTTAATCTTTGCAACTTCAGTGAAATGTGAAGAAACACAGGGCCTCATCCAAGCTTTGGAGATTTTAATTGTAACGATCCTAGGTTTCTACTTATCTAAAGTCGCTAGCGTTATTATAGCGTAATCATTTCATTTTTATTTTCACATAGAGATGATTACGTTATGATAACGATAGTGACTCTAGTTGGTTAAGTTACATTAATGTTTTTTCTCTCACAGATGTTGAAGCAGCAGCAGCCCCTTCCCCTTACCATACTGATGCTGCTGCTTTAGTAAGGTGCCGGCGACAGGAACACTACAAGAAAAGCTGAGCTTTTCTCTCACACAACCAAACAAACCAGACAGAGCTGTCTGGGTGCTGAATTTATTATTCAAATTTTTTTCTTTTTTTATTTTTTATTTTTATTAACGTCCGGTCAAAAAAAAAAAAAAAAAAA